GCACCTGGTCTTCCTAGGTGGTCTCCCATCCAAATACTAACCAGGCCCAACCCTGCTTAGCTTCCGAGGTCAGACACTGGGCTTGTTCAGGGTGGCATGGCTATAGACTATGGACCGTGGCTCCACTGGGGCGTGAACCCAGGACCTTCTGCGTGTAAAGCAGACATGCTAACCGCTACACTATGGAACCATGTCCATCAAAATCTCATTTTAAACCAGAGTGAGAAACCAATCACAATCTTTTATTTCTCATCATTATTATTTCAGCAAGGAAAAGTGATATCTACTATTGAGTTTCTTTTCTCTCCTCTCAAAAAATGATCACTATAGCCCTTCTTCTGCACTTATTTCTATATGCAAAACTTATCTACCTGATAAGCCCCAGCTCTAATTCCATTCTCTCTAGGAAGCCATTTCTAACCAACCCATAGAGTAAACCCTTTCTTCATCAATCTCTTGTAACATTTATTATTCCTTGTCACTTCAACATATATTTCCCTGTAGCATAATTTTACTTTTTGTAAGTGTTTGCCTTGTCAATGGATCATGGCAAGGAACGCTTTTTAGGAGGGTTTATAGGGTATGAGGTAGTAACATGAGTAAAATGAAATTATCATTTATAAAATGTCTACTTTATGTCAAGTACTCTGCATATTTTATCTCTAAGAAAATTGAGGCTTAGAAAAGTGGTTTATCAAAGGTCACAGTATTATTATTTTAAACCATATAACTTATTTTTTATAAATAAAAAATGGTCTTATATTATGAATTTAATGATTAAATCTAATAGTAAGTGAAGAAGTGAGGATTTAAACTCATTGATTAGGTTGTTGGTTTAGGTTTAAAATCTATGCTTTTTCTACGTCATGCTGCTACTCAATAAAATAACGGCCATGTAGGAGGTCAGTGCTAGAGCTATGGATTCCAATCATTAATTGTTAAAACCGTGAGAACAGTGAGTCCATGAGGAAGCATGGAGAAGAAAAGATAAGAGGACAAATGCTGAACTCAGGAAATATCTTTGGTTTAGGGATGGCAACAATAGTAGGAATAGCAACAGGATTCAAGTACAACAAATAATTTGAGGACCTACAGTATACCATGACTCACATTAGGTACTTATAAATATAAGCTATTGAAACCAGGGGAAAGAACAGTAAATGAAGAAAGAGAATAACCAGGAGATTAATTGGTATCACTTAGGTCAAAGGAGCTAACAGTTTTAAGAAGGAAATAACAGTAACAGACTTCGTTATCACTAAGAGTCATGAAAAATGAAAAATATGTACTCACTCATTCAACAAACATTTGCTGAGATTCTTCAGTTCTGTGCAAGAACTGGGGTAACACAGATGAAGACATGGTACCAGCCCTCAAGGAAATTTAAGGACTAGTGGACACAACAGGCTTGTACACATAAAAGGCCACACTGGCTCTATCTAGTAAGAAGCTCATTATTTGTGGCCTTCAAGAAGGTAGTTTGAGCAGAGGGTAGGGGATGGAGGCCAGAATGCAGAGATCTCAAGGGAAGAGTGTGGCATGGCAAGCAAAGGGCATCAAAGAAAAAAGATCACAATGAGTGATGGCAATAGTATCGAGAGAAGCTGTCACAAGCTTATGCCAGCTGTTCTCTTAAAGCTCTACAAGGAATACTGCTACATCACCAAACTGATGCCAAGACATGGGAGAGAAAGAGAGACTGAGAGAGAGTGAGTATGGAGAGCTAGAAATTCAGGTCTACAGAGTCCTGATTACTCTTTGCTATGGTCTGGAAATCCTGAAAGAGAAGGGCTAAAGAAATAAGATACCGGTTTTGACAGGGATGAAGGGTACCTACCTATATCATAGAGATGGCCACGGAAATCCAGACACTATTAGCTGCCTACTCATCTATTTCCCTGCCCTTCTCCTGACTGACAGAATCCCAAATTGTTTCCATTAATAGGTGACACGTGGGATGAATTTTGATTAACCCAACCTAATTATGGCAATTCCATTCCCCTTGTCAGTGACTGTTTCAGGCATGGGCATGTATTATAATCTGGCCTATGAGGTACGTTTGCTGGGCTGCTCCTGAGGAATTATCCTGATTCTTAAAAAGGATAACAAGATCAACTGTTACATGAGGATGAGAGCTGCTGTCTTCCACTGTGACCATGAGGGAAGAAGTCAACATGCTAGGGAGCAGAGCCCCCAAAAATGAGAAAATTTGGGTTCTTGATTTTATTTCTTTTTCCTTGCAAAAGCTTTTATTTTTTTTAATTAAAAAATTTGTGTTTTAGAATAGTTTTAGGTTTGCAGAAAAGTTATAAAGATAGTCCACAAAGTTCTCATATAGCCCTCATCTAGCTCTTGGTGAAACTAGATTTCACTAGTCTTTAATGTCCTGGATCCAATTCAGGATACCACATTGATTTAGCTGTCACGTTGATTTAGCTAATCTCTTCTACTGACTTTGTTTTCTAATCTCTAAATTAATCTAACCGGAAACCACCATAAACCTGAACTTCTTGTTAAGTGAGGCAATACACTTTCCTAATTATTGAAGCCATTTTCAGTTGGGTGCTCTGTTACTAACAGCCAAAAACATCCTGATACACTGAAATATTCAGGTAAGGTGGTCCTTCCAGGCCATACAGTCCAGGCCTCTCACCTACGACATTCCTATAAGGAGTCACAGTGTCTCTTAATGGACACCTTGTTCCATGCATTTACCCCAACCCCACTCCCAAACTCCATTCCAAGTACCTTGTCTTGGCTACATCAAGGTACTCATTTTACCTAGATTATGTATGTTGAGTTTTAAACATGGAACCTACTGCATAGTAGGCACCTAGTAAATGACAGATTCCCCCCTTTTTGCTCCCTTCCTTCATCTATGACTTTGCACACACTATAGCTTTGGCCTTCAATGTTCACCTTTACATTTCCAGCTGGTAAAATACTCATTGGCTTACATGTCACCTGGTCCACAAAGATGTCCCTGCAGCACTCCTACCACTAGAGTTAGCTGTTCTCCATGTTCCCATATAGTTTACTGCTGTAGTACTTTATCAAATTGTACTCAATCACATGTCTATATGTCTGTCTGCCTTAGTAACTATGAGTTCCTTTAGGGCACAGACTATAACTGATTCATTATTGAATCCTCGATGTTTTGCAATAACAGCCAATACATTCACTCTACCAATGTTTCTTGAGCACCAACTACACAGTGGGCACTGAGCTAAATGCTGGAGATAACACGATGAATAAGGCACAGTCACAATTCTCAAGGAGCTTGGACTGGAGGTGACCAACGGTTACCATGTAGGGTGATAAACACTATGTGATAGCGCAATATGCCAAAGAATTATGGAGAACTATGCCTCTAGCTCAGCCATAGACCAGGCATTTAAATCTATATTTAATTGAACTATAGGGAACCATCTCTCTCCACTGGCCCCTGGACTCACCTTGGCTAGCAATGAATCCGTCTCTGAAATTCAGCACAGAGAGAACACGTGCTCCTGATCTGTGGATGACTTGTACTGGAACCCTAGGATTCAGAGTAAAAGGGGCAATTTTTTTTTTTCAAAAGAAATGCTTGACTATATTAACATATAGTACTAACCCATAACAAATAGGACATAGGTAGGAAGGGAGTAAACATTCATGTGGTTTCTTTACTGCAAAATCCTTAAATGACAGATCAAGATAATCCACTGAAAAACATCTTGGAATAAATCTAAACAGTCTCTACACATGTCATTGGGCTGAATGAACTTGGTAACCCACAATATCTCCAGTTTTCAGGGTGGGCTGACAAGGGTTTAAGGTAACAATGTTAACAATATGTTAATCTTTTTACTTATAGACAGAATTAAGACAGTTGTGAAATATTAAAATTGTCAGGACTCTGTAAAACAAAACGGAAAGATGAGGGAAAACTGATTTAATATATATGGTAAGAGTGATTTAATATATAAGTATTATATATTTTATAATAGTGATCAGAGATTCTCTATCTCCAAGGAGCCAAAAACAAGTACAAAAGTTAAGTAACTTAAATTAGGGAAGAAAAGGTATAAACTAGTCATTCTTTAGCTAGAATTTCTTCCCTGCTCTTGGAATAAAATCCAAACTCCTTAGGACAGTATATAAGTCCTTTCGAAGCAAACTCTTGTTTTCCTGTCTGGCATCAATTCTCACCAAGGCCTCACCTTCAGGGTACACACTTGTCATATGAAACTACTCAGAGATCCCTGAAAGTGCCACATGTTCACATGCCTTCATGCTTGTCTATATGCTACTCTACCTAGGGCAGGACCCTCTCTTCCTAACTTGGTAGCTTCTACTGGACAAGATGCAATTCAAGCCTCATCCTCTTGGAGAACAGTCTCACTTTCTTTCCTCTCCTTGGTGCTTCCTCAAATTCCTAAACCTTATCAGACCACTGATCACACTGCATCACAAGTCTTTTATTTGTCCATCATTACTATTAGACTACAAGTTCCTCAAAGGCAGAGTATGTATCTTTTATTTTTGCTTTTCAGTGAGCTGCACAAAGCCTGGTGCCCACAGAAACCATTCGACAAATTAGTTGAACAAAGGAAGGAAATAGAAGGAGGAAGGGATAGGACTGTAGAAATTGTTAAATCCTAGGACAGAAAAGTTGTGTGATTCTATCTGGATATTTTAAAGTCCAGAATAAGACGTGTCTTAGATAGGTTATGATCAAAGCTAAATAAAGAACCAGAGCTGGCTGACTTAAACTTGGAAAATGATTAATCTTAGGCCAACCAAGATCTAATACTATGGAGAAAATTACTGAGCTCCTTAAATGTTCTACAAAATCATTTTAAAATCATTTTTTGTTAAAATCATTTTAACAAAATCATTTAATGTTAGTTCATTATTATTAAGCTTAACTTCCAAAGCAATCACTACAATAGGACAATCATGAATCAAATTACCTTTTAACATGATTCCAGGAATAAGAACAATCAGACAATTCACACTGGAAAACCTTTATAAATGAAAAAATATACCCTTGATTCAATAGTCATCTATATGCTAGGCTAAATCAATGTTAAAGCCAATAAAAATTTCCACTCTGTAGAAGACCTGCATCATGTAAATGAATGGGGTCCCACCTTGGACTCCTCACGTCCAGCTGATAAATATTTCCATCTTGTGTCCCAGCCAATAGCAAGAAGCCAGAGAGAAAAGTACAGCAGTTGAAGGCATCTGAGCCAATAAAGAGGAATACCTGGGAACAAGCAGGAGACAAAAATGTTGTTTAAAACTTAATTTATTTCTAGGAATAAACAGGCACCATGAAAAGGAAAATTTTACTATTTTTAGAGATATTTTCTTTCTTCTCACTTTAAGCACTCTTCATCTAAACTAAGCAGTCACCAACAACTGAAGAAGAAGCACATTCAGGATTTCAAGACCCTGAGGTTGGCTGAAGACTTAAGCAGTTTATATAATACCAAACTTTGAGGTAGCAGTTTTCAAACTACTAGCTCTCGACTCACAGGATCCTCAACACCAAAAAACCTTCTTTTCCCTCTTTTCATTACAACCCTCCATTTGAGAAACAATTGCAATTCACATATTTAAGATTTGTTTCATGTCACTTCTAACCACCTTTTGAAGAGAGGTACTTTGTCTTAAATAAAATGGCAATTTAAAGAATCACAATTCTCCTAATGTACTTTAAAAAAGCAATTATCAGATATTTATTTATTCCTTACTGTTAGCTCAAATTGATCATTTCTCCCTTAAATGTTCTAAAAAGAAAAGGAAAAAACAAAACTAAACAAAGCCCCTGATTTCCCTTCAGATGTAAAAGCCAGCATGGAAATTCAGAGTGCAAGGACCGTAATAAAAAAAAGTGAAATTCCTGGAACAAACTTTGAAAATGGAAACACCACCGGCACAATGAAGTAACAAAATTAAATTAAAACACAAAGCCTATGGTCAAACCAAATCATTGAAGTTATTTGGGTAATGATGATAGGAGCTGGAAGGAAATTTTAAAAATCTAATCCCAGGGACCTAAGAGTTTAATTAAGAATGCAGTATTTCCAGCAAAATCTCAGAAGATAAAGGAAGAAATTTCAAAGTAATTCTTCTATAAAAGACATTCTGGGCATTAATTAATCAAGAGCCCTAGGTGCATGTGTCTTTGACTCAGAATTTTTTCACATCACCTTAGAGGCATAAGGGAATCTATACAACCTCATCATTTTACATACAGCACATGAAGACCCAGAAGGAAAGTGACTTAATAAAGGTCACAAAGCAGTAGAACATTTAATCCTCAATATATAGCCTTATAAGTCCTACTAGGCCCAGTCTAGTGACCAGGAAACTGAGGCTCAGAGAGGTTAAGTAACCTGTCCAATGTCATAGCCATTAAGTGGAAGAACTAGGATTTAAATGTTGCCTTTATTCCAAATCTCATGCTTTTAATCACTATACTGTACTGCCTCTCACTCATGAAGCTTCCTCAAAAAGTGAACACAGTAGACAAGTAGAAATGTTTCCAAAATGGTTTTCCAAAAATCAGAGCAACCCAGGTTGCCCCAGAGTTCAAAGGTCTTAGAGAAGCCACTTGCCGGCTGCCTGCTCTGTAGTCCCAAGCACTGAAGCTTCTTATCTTCTCGGGCCAACAGCAGCATTTTCGATTCTGTTCCAACCTCCCGTTCACCTGCATAACAGATAAACTATATAAATAATGGGCGAGGCTAATCAGCTGCCAATACCCAGAAATCACAGATACTGAAGCCCGTTTATTGAATTATTCTGTTAGTGATTCACTCACTAATTAAAAAAGCATTTATTATGTTCTATATCTTGACTGCGGTATTGTTTGTATGACTGTACACATTTGTCAAAACTCACATAACTGTTCAGTTAAAAAGGGTGACTTTACTTTATATAAAACATACTTCAACAAACCCAACTGAAATATATTATTATTCAGTCCTTTGTAATGTAACAAGATACCATACTAGAAGCAGGGATACAATGCTGAACAAAACAGTCTCTGCCCTCAAGGATCTTATGGTCTGGAAGAAATGAAATTTATTCATTCACTAAATATTTATTGAGGGTGTACTATGTATCAGACATTTTTCTAGGTGCTGAGGAAATAGTGATGTACAAACAGACAAGGTCCTTACTCTTCCAGATTCTAGTGGAAATAGGAAATAGTGGAATAAGTAAATAAACAAGTAGGATACTTTATGATGAGTTCTATAAAGGAAATAAAACAGGAAAATATGATCAAAAGTGAACAGTGGGAGGATTGGGTGGGGGAAGGTCACTTTAAATTTAAACTTCAACTTTAAAAAGGCTCTGTGGAAGCCACATTTTAACTGAGACCTGAATGGTAAACAGAAACCAGACATGTGAAGAGTTTCTAGAAGTACTGGGTGGCAGAGTCTGCTGTGCTGAAAGAACAAACAGAAGGCCTGTGGCTGGAACACAGTGGGCCTGGCAGGGGTGGTATGACATGAAGCGAGAGAGAACTGTAAGGGTCAGAAAGTGTAAGGTTTTGTGATAAGCCATGGTAAAGGGGTTAGAATTTTAATATATATATAAAAGGAGGCCAGTGGAGAGTAGGGTCAAAGAACAGTGACATGATTTATGTTTTCTAAATCAGCGGTTCCCAACCTTTTTGTCACCAGAGATTGGTGCTCCTATGAGAATCTAATGCCTGATGATCTATGGAGCTGAGGAGGTGATGTTAGCGCTGGGAAGCAGCTACATACACAGATGAAGCTTTGCTTGCTCACTCGCCCGTCACTCACCTCCTGCTGTGCAGGCCAGTTCGTAACAAGCCATGGACTGGTACTGGTCTATGGCCTGGGGGTGGGGAGCCCAGTTCTAAATGACCACAGTGGTTGCTCTGAGGAGAATGGGTTATAGAAGAGTATAAGCAACAGATGATGACAGATTGGCCAGAATGCTGGCAGGAAGGAAAATGGGAGGGAGAGGATGAGGTGAAAAATTAGAAAAACTTTGAAGGTAGAGATGACAGGCTTTGCTGATATGGGACATAAGGAAAAGTAGAGGTACATCGTGAATGAATCTCAGACTTTGGGCTTGAGCAAATGGGAAGGTGGAGAAAAAGAGATTTGGGGTGGGGGAAAATCATATATTCCATGTTAAATAAGGTAAGTTTGGACTATCTATTAGACATCTAACTAGAGTCTAAAACTCAGGTGAGAGGTCTACACTTTAGATATACTTTTGGAAATCGCCAGCTTACGTACAATACTTAAAGCCATTGATCATCTAGGGAAAAAATGTAGTTATAGTTGAGGGCCCTCCAATATTTAAAAGTAGACTAAAGGAGACATAAAAGGAGACTAAGAAGCAGCAGCCAGAGAGACAGGAAGAAAAGCCGTGTAGTGTGGTATCACAGAAGCTAAGAAAGTAAAGTGTCCTGACAGGAGGAGCTGACTATGTTGAAGCCTGTTGAAAATTGGGAAAGACAAACATAGAACAGTAATACTAGATCAGGCAACATAGAGTCACTGGTGACTCTACCCTACTTCCCATTCTTCCTGTTCTTATCTGTTCACCTCGAACCCATACTTCAAGGTTCAAGTCAACTTCTTTTGTGACACCTTTCTCACCTACACTAACCTAAAACACTCTCTTCTTCCAAGAATCACTAAGTTATTTAAGCCAAAATTTTAATGTTCCCTGTTTTATAGGCATTAGTCTCATCTAAATTAGATTGTAGTTACTCAAATGCAGTAACTATGACATATAGTTTCTTTGTAGATTCCTAAGCAAAAGAAACAGTATAGGTTTTCAATAAATATTAATCTTACGGTGAAATAGAAATATCAGATACAGAGCAGGAAAGAATGAGGAAGAAAAGGAGAAACTAATGCAAACACTAAAGGGGCCTAAGGAAACAAAATAAGCTCACTTATCATTATCAACTTACTAGGCATTTGCTCAGGGGAGCCAAGGTTTATGGAGTTGTCAGCAGCACCTACAGCCACTCCATTGATGGAAGAACCACAGTCTGCAATGACTCCCAGACAGGCTGAGCGGCCGCAATCCCAAAGTCGCACTGTCCCGTCTCGAGAACCAGATACCACATTCCTCCCCCGATCAACAATGGCTGTATCAAGGATACCTGGCAAGAGAAAAAAAAAAAAGACCCAAGATAAAGTAGGTAACAGAGGAACTATAAGGGCAGAGAAGACAGATCCGCATAAATACTTTCATTCCTTCACATTTACTGAGTATGTACTACATGCTGGGCATGTTCAAGTGCTAGAAGAACAGAAATAAATAGAATAGAGTCCCTGTTTCCCAATGGTTCAAAGACTAGCTATGAGACACAAAGAAGCAGCAGCTCTGGATTTAATTTTTAGTAGAGTAGTGATTTTCAAGTTTTTATTTTGGCTTTAAAATCTGTTTTTTTAAACAAAAATTAAGTGGACTTTTTATAGAGTAACATTTGAAAATCACCGTCTTAAAAGATCCTGCTGCTTCCATTGAGAAATAACTGAAAGGATTAGTCTCCTCAGCTTAAAAAAAGAATGTGACTTCTGGTCTGGCCGAGATGGAGTAGCTTCATTCATTCCAAGTCCTTCTCCTTACAACTTAAAAAACCTGGACATAACAAGCATAGGAAGACTGAAAGATGGAAAGAGGATGGCAGACCAACTAGGGACCTCAAGACTTGAGGAACGACAGGACAATGAGTTCCCTGATTTCCTTACTGCCTCCCATATATCCTAGACAGGACAATGAAGAAAGTTACAACACCCGATTAAAAAAACAAACAAAACAAACAAACAAAACAGGCACAGTTAAAACAACCCTGAAGAAAACCCTGTTGCCCCCAGGCCAAAGACTGGGAATTTTTTATGGAGTTGTCAGCAGCACCTACAGCCACTCCATTGATGGAAGAACCACAGTCTGCAATGACTCCCAGACAGGCTGAGCGGCCGCAATCCCAAAGTCGCACTGTCCCGTCTCGAGAACCAGATACCACATTCCTCCCCCGATCAACAATGGCTGTATCAAGGATACCTGGCAAGAGAAAAAAAAAAAAGACCCAAGATAAAGTAGGTAACAGAGGAACTATAAGGGCAGAGAAGACAGATCCGCATAAATACTTTCATTCCTTCACATTTACTGAGTATGTACTACATGCTGGGCATGTTCAAGTGCTAGAAGAACAGAAATAAATAGAATAGAGTCCCTGTTTCCCAATGGTTCAAAGACTAGCTATGAGACACAAAGAAGCAGCAGCTCTGGATTTAATTTTTAGTAGAGTAGTGATTTTCAAGTTTTTATTTTGGCTTTAAAATCTGTTTTTTTAAACAAAAATTAAGTGGACTTTTTATAGAGTAACATTTGAAAATCACCGTCTTAAAAGATCCTGCTGCTTCCATTGAGAAATAACTGAAAGGATTAGTCTCCTCAGCTTAAAAAAAGAATGTGACTTCTGGTCTGGCCGAGATGGAGTAGCTTCATTCATTCCAAGTCCTTCTCCTTACAACTTAAAAAACCTGGACATAACAAGCATAGGAAGACTGAAAGATGGAAAGAGGATGGCAGACCAACTAGGGACCTCAAGACTTGAGGAACGACAGGACAATGAGTTCCCTGATTTCCTTACTGCCTCCCATATATCCTAGACAGGACAATGAAGAAAGTTACAACACCCGATTAAAAAAACAAACAAAACAAACAAACAAAACAGGCACAGTTAAAACAACCCTGAAGAAAACCCTGTTGCCCCCAGGCAAAAGACTGGGAAAAGAGTGGCTTGTTAAAACAGAAAATCTTTTTTGGCAGTATCCACCTCATTCAAACAGCAACAGGAAAACTTCTATCTCCCCCTCACCCAAAGTTTCAGTGGGGCTGAACAAGAAGTGATCTTCTAACCCAGCCCCCATGGAAGGAGGCAGCACTCCAGTTACCCAACTCAGTGATACTGACCAGGCCCAGTGGGGTACTGGCAGCTGGGTCCAGAGGTAAGCTAAGCCTATACCGCCACCTGACAGCAACAGGTAGAAGAAAGAGGTAGAATGAGGTAGTGGGAAGTAGCACTCCACTTTCTCCAACCCCTCCCCTGCTAGTCAGCAGGATTTTTAACCCACTTGGAAGCAAGGAAGTCGTGCAAGTTGAGGTAGTGTAAGTTGGTGCTCCACTTTCACCAGAAAGGTATCAGCAGGGCTGAGGGGATGCTGAGCTTCCACCTCGCATGTTTGCAAAGTGGAAGTGTGAGCTAGTGCTCCACTTTTGCCAGAGTGGCGTTAGAGGAGCCCGGCAGGAAGCTGAGCATACACATCTACCAGGCCCAGAACCATACCTAGCAATACTGCCTGCTAAAAAAGATTAAATAACATCCAGAGTATTATAATGTCCAAAATGTCCACAGATTTTATAATTTTTGAAGCCTTCTATTACCTGTTATCTGAATATTTGTTACGGCCCTGGCCTCAGCATAAAAAGATAGAGGAAGTCATGGACATAAAGAGTTACAACACAATGTTTGTTATATGTGTGGTAACACAGAACTGTACAGAAAGGGAGGTATCCCAACCCTATGGTGATTCAGGCAGGGCTGTTACTTGTTTTATTAAAACCCATTTACTGATCCTATTACAGGTGCCCAATAAATACTTACAGCTTGACAAATAAGAGTACCTGACTAAAAATCACCTAGCAAATTAGTGATCTTTGGCTAGCTCCCCATTCTTCTGAATATGAGATGACTTCAGATATACAAACCTTGACAAAAACTCCACAGCAACTCAATGTAAGGTACAAATCATTGGTGACCTATGCAGTTAACCACATGCCTCAACTCTTACTGGAACAGAAACAGATGACTTTACAAAAATGCCACAGACTGAAAAAGCAGCCAATTTAGGGCCTGTTGGAGAAAATATGAGAAAATTCAGGTGGGACCTAATCTCAGTATAAGTTTCCATATATACTTTATTTAAAATAAAAATTAAATCCAATTTATATAGCTGACGATAGTTGTTAGAAAAATAAAATGTAATCCTCCCAATTATACATCCACTGGATGAAGGCCATAGAGTCCCTGTTTCCCAATGGTTCAAAGACTAGCTGTGAGACACAAAGAAGCTACAGATAAGATTTTAAAATAGCCTTCCTCTCAGAAACAGATGTAAGGAGATAACATGTTCTGCTATTTTGTTTCTTATTTACAACATTATTTTGTAACTGTAAAGTATTTTGAGTTTAAAAAATCTACCTTTCCACTCTATCTCCATGACACGTTCAGCATAACTAGAAAAGGATCTTAGATCTTTTAAAAATCCTAAAGACTCATCAATAGGAACATTAGGAAGGGCCTCCAGCTCTTATTAAGCAATCAAAGATCCGTTTATGTCTTTATTAGGAAACTGCAACAGCTACTTTAAAATGTTATTGAGTTCCATGAAAGTGATATAAGCTTTTTAAAAAAATAGTTCTGATAAGTATGTACCTGAGACAGGATGGTACAGTTGTGTTTAGGAAGCTGTGACTGGTATTACCTGCGCATAAATTTCAAGTAACACTAAAGAGCTGACATCTAGAATGTTTTCCTTTTCTATAAAAGTAAAGTGAAAAATTCTTACCCCTTCTCTAATAAAATGTCACTCACAATATAATGGCATCAAGTGTGGGTCTTTTCACTCTTAGATGACAAGAATAAAAGAAAGAGGAGCCCTACAAAAGCAAGAACTTCTGAGGAATTACTTTAGAATGAAGCTATGAAAGTAGCAGGAATATCTTTTTAAGAAAATCGGCCATAACTAAGACCTACCAGAAACCATACAGGCTTTAGAGATCAAACCAAACAGATACAAGTCCTCAACATACAAGCCAAGAGGAAAAAGCATTTGCCTTCAAGAAAAGATTCAGCCAACTCACATATAAACATTCTAGCCAAAGTCTGGGAAATAGGAATAACATTAGATGAATCTATGACTAAAATAAGTACTAGTAAGAAAGGGAGCAAGTTTCATATTTCTAGCCATGTTTTTAACAAGTTTACTAAAATTATCTAGTTTATTATATTAAGCTCTTTTAACGTTGCTAGGGAGCACTGTATATGTACATGAGAAAAGTAATGACTATGACTCAGATCTCAGAAAAGAATGAAGCTTGAAGCACCTACTCTTACTTGAAGACATCATATCCTATTTCCAAGAAAGTGTATAAGAGTTTGAAAATAATGGCCTAAGAGCTGAAAATGCGACCTGGTCTTTTAAAATTAATACTGGAAGCATTAAGCAAGCCAGGGAATTAATTAAGCTAACAAAAGGTTATCTTTTACAATAGATCTTTACACAGAGCTACTTTATTAGTGTCCTAATGGTTCTTTGCAATAAGCATCAGGCTATGTTCTATCCAGTCTTCCTGGTATTTTCTTTTTTATCTTGCTTGCCCAGACTTACCTTAGGCAACAAAAGACCACGTTCACTTTCAACACTATCTTTCCTACCTTGGTGAGCGAAAAACTCAATCAACTGACATGGTATTTCATGTAGTTTCAATGTTTCCATATCTTATGACAAAGAATTAGGACAAATCTTATGACAAATTCATAGGATTATGAATATATACCTCCAAAACACCAACCTTAACTAATCTGGGCAATTTAAAAACTTAAACTGATTAAAGTACACTTTAGTGCTACTTAGTAAACTCATATATTACAAACACCAAAGTATTTTTAGTTTATCTAAAATCTTTCACTGCAAAGATTTAAAAATATACACAAATCTCACCTCTGCTTGTTAATTAAGAATACACTAATCCTTTTAGTATATATAAAATATGCATCTAAAAGTATTAGGAAAGACCAATTACATATTAACTAGGATATCTGTTTCTATTGGAAAATGTCTATTAGAAGTTACGATTTCTACTAGAAATAACAATTTATGCTTTTCATATTTGACAAGTATGTTAAAATACCACAAGGCTCACCCTTCCTGGAAGAGATTAAAATTTAATTTAATATTTTATATGAACATTTATTACGTACTTATTATATACTAGGGACTATGCTAAATTCTTCATATATACCACCTCATTTAATATTAGTATCCCCATTTTACATGAGTTAAGGCTCAGAAAAGTTAAGCAATTTTCCAATGTCACACAGATTATAAGTGAAAAAACTGAGATTTAATTTTAATTTACAAAGATTTGTATGTCTCCAAATCCCATGCTAACTACTCTATTATACTGCCTCCATTACTATCATGTTTTCATATAATGGAAGCATTAAGCAAGCCAGGGAATTAATTAAGCTAACAAAAGGTTATCTTTTACAACAGATCTTTACACAGAGCTACTTTATTAGTGTCCTAATGGTTCTTTGCAATAAGCATCAGGCTATGTTCTATCCAGTCTTCCTGGTATTTTCTTTTATATCTTGCTTGCCAAGACTTACCCTAGGCAACAAAAGACCACGTTCACTTTCAACACTATCTTTTGCTTCTCTTATTTGGTTACTACTTGTGAAAACACTAAAGATCACAAATGCAGGTAATACAGTAAGTCCTCACTTAACATTGCCTAGTTTCTGCAACTTTAAGCAAAATGAGGTATAATGAAACTAATTTTACTACAGGCTAATATAAGTAATAGTTAAGTTCCTATGGAACCTCATCAATGTTATAATAAAACATTGAGCGAAAGGACATTATTTGAAGACCTGCTGAATTCTTTATTGTTTTTTATTTGGTTCATGGATTTCTCTAATAAAATGCTTCAAAATCTCGTAACTAAAGAGATTCTAGAAAAAGAGCCACACAAAGCGACTTGGAAGTCATTTGGTTCAAGACAGTAATCTATATGCTACTAAGCTATCAGAGATTAATCTTGATTTTTGCTCTGTATTGCAGGAGAATGGACAGCTCCAACTTACTGGAGAGCAGCATTCAAGACCTGACAGACATCAGCCTGGATCTGACTTCGTCATTCCTCCTATAGTTTATCATTTCTGTTCAATCTAATAAAAACCTTCCTTTCAAGAAAGAAAAAAGTCAAGGTTGATATACTCTGGAGAAGTTCCCCACCCACTCTAGGACTTTCTCACAAAGCCAAAAGAATGGAAAAACTATATGAATAAAAGCTTAAATCAGATTAACGAACATTCTATAATCCACTCTAAGTAAGTGACACACACATGTATTCTTAAGGAAACCAGAAGAACGCTGGGAGACTTAGGATTCATATGAAGGGCACAATCAATAATCGCAGTAATCAAAGGTATCTGTCATAAATTGAGTGAGGGTACACTGGCACTGAATATGCATCCTGTTAAGTTCAACATGCACAGTCATGCCTCGCTCCACTGTAAAGTTCTCCCGTGCCTCACACATTCAGAAGGATGGCCAAGTCTGAGGTGACTCCCTCAGCATTCCTCTAGACTCCTTTGGCTCCTGGACTCCCCAACAGTGCAGGCTACTTCGACTCACACTTGTCGGTTCTTCAGGCTGAATGTGAAGAAAGCTCCAAATATCCTTTCTATTCCCTCTCAATGCACTCACTAGTCTTAGAAGTAAACCATTTATCTGCTAAGGTTAACATGTGTTTGCTAGATGATCTGTATGTAATCTAACAAACCATTATAAAGAAATTTTAAAACTTAGAACAATCTCTACATACAAGTTATTTATAATATAGTCAGCTACATAAGGCAAAAACATTGGCTTAAATACCATAAGCATAGGGCAATACATAATTAATTCCCACATGAGTAGTATAGATAATGTGTATTACGGTTCCAAAGAAGGGATCAAGTTAAGGAATTATTTGAGGATGTTATGAAATTTTCAAAAATATCCAAACTCGTAAGATAAGAATAACATTATTTATCACCTTTTTAACACTGCAATTAAGGATAAAACATCACTACATTACATTTTTTTTCCCCAACAAACCAAGCAATCAGTTACAAAAGGAACCACAACCTGATATCAACTGGTTATATGGTCAAACCATTTTAAAAATCTGAACTGTGATTTAAATCCATGAGAATCAACGGTCAGTACCATACTCTAACTCTGATGTCTGATGATGCAGCCATTTGCCATCAAGCTTTTACCATTACCTCAGCCAAAGGACCAGTAATGAGAAAATGTGGGCACACCTCTCTAACTTTTTTTCTAAGCACACAAGTAGATGATCTCCTGAGGAGGATTTTTTTTTCACTTTTCAGTTGTGAATAACAACTATCTGTGTAAGGCAGTTAGTTCTAGATAGCAATAACAAGAATGGGTAACAAAGGAATTTCTAATCCTTGGGGAAACAGCAGCTCATTTAAATGGCCAGTTGAATGAATTATTTCTATTTTGGTGGAAAACAAGCTTCTGTTTCTATCTTTTTACTGATTCATCTTTGGGAATCATTAGAGAAGTCTTCTGGAGAAATCATCCTTCATACCTCCTTTGTGACCTTTGAAGGTTACCACGCAGCTAGCATCTTCAGCTGACCAGATCTTCAACTGGGCATCCATTCCCCCACTCAGAACCACAAGGCCTGATGGGAAAAACCTGCAACAATTCACATCAAACACATGTCCTTCCAATACTCTCTGGAAAAACAAAAGAAAATTCCATGCTAGTTCTCCTGTTCATCCTTTGATGTTCTCTAACCCTCCATATCCTTGGTCCCTTAAATAAAATATCTACATGCTATATCCACATGCTGGGTCTGAAACTGAGGAGTTCTAAAGGATCTCTATAGCTCATTTGTCCACCAGGTAATGTTCTAAGAGCTGTGGGCTCCCTTTCCAGCACTGGCTACAGAGATTGTGGATTTGAATGCCACAGCTTTCACAGCCATCCCTAAGTCTAGTTCCACATATAAAAAGCTGAAGAGGCTTGAGGACTCTTATTCACCTCTTCTTAAAATCCTCTGTATAGTTGAGGGGCTCAGTTATAAACTCGGTGTAACAGCCTAGCTACTCTGTCTTAGAAACCAATTACTGAAGGCAGTTCTTACCAAGGGACCACCCACTTAAGACAGTTACTAGGCTGGCTCCTCCACTGTTCTAGTCCCAATTTGTTCTAGCAAATCACCAAGCTTGAGGATGTTTCTTAGATTAGCATATAAAAGAACAAAGATTCACTGAAGTACAGTGGCACTACATTTTTAGAATAGGCTACTCTTCTTTCCATGACCCAGTCTAAGGTTTCTTAGACCACCCTTCATGTACAAGACTCTAAAAGTATATCCAAAGCCTTTACTCGGAGCTCTCCATTGGAAGCCTGCCAGATCTTCATGGTCCCATCAGCACTAGAAGACACACCAAGGCCTCCACCACTGGAAATGTCCAGGCATGTTATCTGTTCAAAATATAAAACCACCAGTGTTACAAATAATGAAAAGCTCATCTTCCCTTGATATATGGTATAAACCTCCTCTGTTTCATACTCCTCTAAGACTTCTTCAAGCCTATGCTTCCCAACACTAAGGATATGTTTCATGTGAAAGCTGCCTTACTATCACCAATCTCTCAATGAGGCTAGAGCCAATACCTTCTATTTCTCAAAACAAAAAGATATTCTTATAATCATCTATAGTCTCCTGCTTCCGCTAAAAAGTTTTCTCTATCCTCATATCATTTCCATATTTTACATCTTTTGTTATTTTATTTTAAAATTAAGATATTTGTTTGAATTCTTAGGAACCCACTTACACAAAAGACAGTCTTCCAAGATGTACCGGAAGGATTCAAAGAAAAGCAAAGATGCTTCCAATTTACATTTTCACATTCTCTCTGTAAAATCCTCATTATGTGCATGTGCATATTTCAGAACAAGTAAAAGAGAATTCCCAGTTTCAATATAAGCAATCTCTTCATGCATTAGCAATGATCAGACTGCCAAGTCTCTTTCATATACATACATGCATACATAATCCTTTTTATTAAAAAACACCCAGCTGCAAAAATTCCAGAAACGTAGGATTGAGATATATAATCCAAGACATATTTCCAGCAATAATAATTCCCATGTGACATAATTATTAAGAAAAAAGTAGAGGCTTTGGCTTTACTTATCCAACCTTTCATTTTACTTCATTCTATGCCATTTAAGCCATAAGGAATAAGGTTGGCAAGAAATATCAACCCTAACACTTTCTGAGACCTTTTCTTCTTTATTTTGGTTCCTCAGAATAAACTGTTAATTGTGGATCCTTTAATTTTAAGGATTCTTATTTATGTCACATTTTATCATTTATAAAATATTTTCAAATATATTATATCATTTGATCCACATAACAATCCCATTTTACTCCTGGCTTCCCATGCATTGCTGGGCATTGGGGACACAGAAGTAAATTTGACAGAGCCCTGCCTTCACATTCTAGTGTAGAAGACATATCTCTCAGATCTACTTTTCTTTTCCAAGACCACTGCTCCCACTATAATCCTGGGTCTTAAGTCTGACTACTTGTACTGTCAATCCTTTCAACTCTATGTCTAGCTCCCCAATTATGTGATGAGCTCTGTAAGTGTAAGAACCACGTACAGCACTTTCTTACACAAATCACAGGCATGGTAATTACTCAACAAATACCAAATGACAGCAGTTTGAGAAGAAGGATGAAGTACCTCATCAATACTAGATAGGAAAGTAAAGCCATCTGACCTATACCAACAAGACCAACTACTGTCCTCATTCGCAGGGTCTTAGAAATGACATATTTAAACACTTTCCTACTCACTCTGAAATCAATTTAATCCCTGCAGCAACATAGCTCAACCTCTTTCCCAATTCAAGTGGCATCTATCCAACTGCCCACTAGGAATCTACCTTTGGCTTTATAGTGGAGATCTCAAACTTCACATATCCAAACCAGAACTCTTATTTCGCCCTGTATAAACCTATACAACTGGTAAATGGCATCACAGTTTACCCACTTCTCAGGCCACAATTTTTGGAATTATCCCAACTCCTCATTTTCTCTCACATATCATATTCAAGTCATTAGCAAATCCTGTCTGGCCCCATACCCACAGAATGTAAGCTCTACACCACAGTTTTATTCATTGCTATAGCCCCAGAGCCCAGAAGAGTACTGGAATATAGTAGGTAATTAATAAGTGCATGAATCATCTAATAATGAGCTCAAATAAGAGAAAAGGAAAATAAGATAGAGAAAAAGGGCACAATTGGTCATTTGGAAAAAATAACCTACTTTTCAAAAGGTAAGTGGTTTTCCCAACTCCCCCAAGGAGTTCATCACTTCTCCAGTAGTCTTCTGCACTATGTTCATATAGTGTAGTGGCTTTGAACCAGGGGCAAATTTGCTTCCTAGAGGACATCTAGCATTGTCTGGAAACATTTTTAGTTGTTATAACTGGGGGTGGTGTCCCACTGGCAACTGGTAGGCAGAGGTCAGAGATGCAGCTAAACATCCTACAGTGCATTAGAACGGCCTCCTACGATAAAGAATTATCCAGCTCAAAATGTCAATAGTGCCAAGGTTGCCAAGGGTGAGAAACTCTGATATATTGTATTACATTCTCTCAGTTAATGTACTGTTCCTGGAGGGGACAGGGCTATCCTGTTATTTATTTGTGTTACATATCTTTGGGGCCCTAGCACTTAGATCTAAAAAGTAATTAAGTATAAACTATCCATGTCTCCCAAAGTGACAGAAAACTGAAGAGTAGATTTAGGTCATACCAGCTGTCTCCAGCCTCCAAACTTTTATTAAGAAAAAGAAGAAAGGGAACTAACATTTACTGAATAGCTATTATGTGCCAAATGTGTAACACACTATCCTCATACAATACCCTCAACAATCTATAATACATTATCCTATTTTTCAGATGAGGAATTTGAGTTTTAAAAGATGATTAAGTAATTTCCCCAATGTAGCAGAGCCAGTATAGAAACCTAGATCAGAGTCTATCTATTCTTTAGTCACAGCAAAAGAACAGACAGATCAATGGAACAATCTTAAATATTAGATAAAGATGAAAATTCAAGCCAGTGAGATAAAGAATGGAAAACTTTATAGTGCTGTGACATGCTAACCATTTCAAAAAGAATGAGTTAGATCCCTACTTCAAACCAAATAACGAAGTTTGAGATGTAAAAAATATAACATAACAATTCAAAAAAACCACTATATTTATCATTTTTAATTAACATTTATATTGTGCTTTCTATGTTCCAGACCTAATTCTGTTTCAATCCTTTTAACAACCCTAAAAGAAAAATATTTATTTTTACTCCCATTTACAGATAAGGAACCTGTGGCACACGGAATTAAAGAAGTAGACTAAAGTCGCACAGTTAGCAAGAGACAGAACCAAAATGTGAATCCAAAGAGACAAATCCAATGAGTCTGTCTCTAGAGTTCATGCTCTTACACATTATGTTGAGCAATTAGAAGTGAATATACATATATGTAAAATCATGAAGTACCCTAAGCAAGACTCCAAAAGCAGTTACCATAAAGGAATAAGCTGATAGGTGTTATTATCTAGAAATATTTTTTAAAAAAGAAAAAAGAAATATTAAATATATGTATGTCAAAAGACACAATAAGCAAACAATAAGCTAGAAAACTATCCGTAAACTATATGGCAAAGGATCAATAACCTTAATATAAGAGCTCTTACTAATAAAGAAAAAAACTCACACTTCGAAAAATGGGAAAATGGCATGAAGAGAGGACAATAAATATATAAAAAGTGGCCAATCCAATGATTAATCAAAGGAATGCAAATTAAAATAACAATGAGTCTACAGCCATGCTACATGCCCGATCCTGTCTGATCTGGAAGCTAAGCAGGGTTGGGCCTGGTTAGTACTTAGATGGGAGACCACCTAGGCAGACCAGATAATATAGGTGTAAAAAATAAATAAATAAATAAAATAAAATAAATAAGGGATTGTAAACTGACAAGGTTTCTCAGAGCGATGGCCTGGGGCCACAGTACATGGAACCTTGTGGTAAAAAAAAAAAAAGTCTAAAATAACAATTAAATACCATCAAATTGGCAAAACTTCAACCTCTAATACACAGTATTGACAGAGTATGTTAGGTCAGACTGGTAGAAAAAAGCAATACAGTAAAAGACTGTAGTAGATAGATCAATTAATAGCAGTATATTAATTAATCAAAAAATTCAGTTAAAGTAGGAAATAATAAAAAATGATGCATAAATACCTACATTTTATTTTAACTCAAACATATAATTACACATCGAAATTCACTAACATTTTCATTAGTCTGCTGATTACTACAAGGAAGCTTCCCCTTGACTTTCTTTCAATAAACTATAACCAAAAGGCACACTTTACAAGTTCTAGTTTCTTTAAAGCAAAGCAAATCTTTATTCACACTTACAAAGCAATCTAAGAGCAAAAATTCGCCTAGGTTTTTTAAAAAAATCTTTCCCCTAATATTTTGCATTTAGCTTGCTCACACATACTACAATAGACATAATCACTCTCTGCCTTTTCACACTCATATTTCATCGGTTTAACATATTTAATTGATAAGATAATTTCAAAAACAATATAACTGGCATTGCAACTGACTCTTGGTAAGCATTCAATTTAACCATTAGTGTTAGAAGTATGCAGACCTCAGAGAAGAGCTTATGAACTGGGAATACGCTGTGGGGATCAGCCGCTATGTTTTACAGAGGAAATGCAGGGCAACAGTTGACTCAATAAATCAGTTTAGTGGAAGTCAGTCAGAATATACCAAAAGCCTTATAATTTGCATCCCCTGTGACTCAGTAATTCTACTTTCACAAATGTACTCTGGTTTCTTCCTATCTTTGGGAGCAAAGGGTTAGCTATATCATCAAAATAAGAATTCATGAAATTGGAATACCTGAATGTCCAATAATGTAAGATTGGAAAAATTATAGTAAAATCATAGAGTACTATGCAGCTCTTTAAAAAATGCATAGAAAGATGTATATAATGATGCATAGAAAGATGTATATAATATATTATTAAGGAATAAAAAGCAAGTTATAAAATAGCATATAGTATAAAAACCTATTGTGATAAAATATTTAAAGAAAAAAAGATTGGGAGAATCAAATTAACCAATGATACTTAAAAATCAGCATGATGCTGGAACACAGTAGTTCACAATAGTTTTCTTTTTTAGGTTATAGAAATATGAGTGATTCATTTTCTTTCATGTTTCCTAAGTTTTTATCACTAAAAGTATGTTTTGCAATAAGGGGAAAAAATAACTATTGTTAAAAAAGTACTATACAATAAGTGGAAGGCTTTAATGTAATCAGTTTATACACCTATTTCTCACTTTTGCTTCTGAAAGCCCATGGTAGTAGAAATGGCTTTAATCAGAAAGACCTTTGAAAGTTATTCCTCAATAAGCTATACTTGGGAAAATGTCACTGTCCTATAGGAAAAGGGACAGAAATATGTGCAGTGAGTGGCAAATTATGCAAATGTCAGCTACTATCATCATCATCCAAAAGCCAGTAAGCAGCTCTGCTAAAACATATATAAGGAAATTTTCTTTCAAAATTCCTTTCTCTAAGATTACCATTGAGTGGATTTATATACATATTCTAGTCTTAAACATCACACTTCATCAACTATGTTATCTTAAAATGTAAATGAAAGAAACATTAATTATAAATTTTTATAGCACTAGACAAGCAGATAAAATACTAACATGCTATTCTCATTTTATCAAAATACTTACACTCTTTGCATGAATTCTGGAAAAAGTAGTGTATGGTGCCAAAAACTTCGAAGATGAATTTTCCTTTGGACATGAAATATGAATGCTTTTCTAAACAGAGCAAGAAAGATGAAATACATCAGTAAAGTTACTCCAATGGAAGTAAGGCCTCTTAAACAAAACATGAGGACAACAGAAAATTTTCATCTTTAAGTGTTTCCTCTCTAATCCTCCTTCCCCAGCCCATAAAAACTATCACCTTTCACTACAGGGGCTGCAATATAATTTGCTATCGCTAAGATGCCATGATCTTTTTATGTTAAACTGCCCCAGAGAAGACAAACCAACACTAAGATATAACTGACAAACATGAGAGCATTAATTTTTAGAAGAAAGTCTAATACCAGTACGTTTAATTAGCAGTGGGACAAGGCCTGGGGCCTAAAAGACTAGACTGAAAGTAAACTTGCTGCCTATAAGGACTTTCAGAAAAAATGTTAAGACTACTGACATCTAGTTAGCAGAGAAAATCGGTAAAATAAATTATGGTACACTTTTACAACGTCTTACAAGAGTGGTCAGGCTTGTAGTACCCATTCCCACCTAAAACTTAAAATGACTGTAGTAAATAGACTGGTTATCATCACAGTCATAGCTGTATTACGATCCCCTAGGTGTTCTGTCTAGTCATTATCACGTATCTTTCGACTATTATATCAAGATAACACTGGTGACATAGTAGGAAATTATACCTAGAAACAATGTTAGGGTCAGGTGACATGAGTTGCTAAAGGCAGCCTTTGTAACCATCACAGGTAAGTATGCTGGTGTTTCCAGGTAGTATGTGTAGGCAGAGGTATAAAAGACTTGTACATATCTCCCATACAGAGCTGAGGAGCTGCACTCACCACATGGCCCCTAACCTGTTATCTCTTATAGTTTCTGGAAATCGTGCTGGGTAATGCAAATGTCTTCAATAACCAAAATTTTCTGAACCTCTTTATAAGGCTAATTTATTTACAACAAGCAGAGACCTCACAGTTCATTAGAAAGAACAGTTTCAAATTAACATGCTCTTATTACAGATCTTCTACTCCTTTAAAAAGACAAGTAGAATATCTATACAAACAGTATTTTCTTAGCCAGCATATTCATGCCTGGGTGTCTACAGGCCTTTCATTAAATTGAGTTTTTGCTTCTAACTGCATGACAAAGCCCATACAGCTGCCAGAGAGCTGACCTGTATTTGTAATTGTTTCCTGTACCTGAAACTAAAGCGTCAGCTAAACTCTCCTGGCTAAATATTCATACCAAGCGAGGACACAAGGAGCTCTGAGAGCTTAGGGTTCAGGCCTCTGTAAGCATTGGTTTGCTCTCAGAAGACTTCATTTTGGGGGGCTAATTACATGAAAGATTTCAAGAATCAGCCACTACACTAATTCATGCATTTTTCCTGCTTATGAATCCTGCAATTCAACCTTTAATCCATAAAAAGACTATGAAGGAAGATAAATGTTGAACTACCTTCCACTGTCAGCAGTAGAGAATCATGTTGTTATTTAAAAGAAAAGCTGCAGTAGATATCAAAACAAACAGAACAGACAAAATTCAGGGGTGGGACATGGAGTTTGAGTATTCTACACTATAATAAAATTCAAAGTCAAACTTTTTGTCCTTTAGGATTAGGTTTTTAAGCATATTGACAGATCTGTTTAAAAAGAATCAAGTAGCAACATCAAATAACAAAATGACTCATGGCAGTTAGGAAACAAATGACCGCTCAACCATAAGCACTTACTGTCTGACTCAGCAGGTATACAGTAGAAATTAGCAATCATGTTGAAGATTAGGATTGTATCAGAGCCTGAGTATGAAGGGAAGAAAGGAAGTCAGCACCCAGGCTATGGATGGACAGTGGTGAAATACTTGGGGAAAAATGAAGGCTTGCAAGGTGGTGTTATACCTGGAGTTAATAAAACTTGGTTTCAATTCCAATATATAGTCTAACTACTTTTGATTATTAAGGGTAATCGGTCTGACTACTTATCTGCAAAACAGAAATTTAAAATGCCAATTCCAAAGGACTATTTTGATAAAAAATTCATTTTTGTAATATCTTACAGTTTCATTCATATGTAGTCTCACACCTACTAACTAGCCTATGAGGTAGAATATTATCTTTTTTATAGATGAGGAAACTGAGGCTCAGGGAAATAAGTTATTTGTCCAACATTATATTCCTAGTGAGTGTCAGAGTTAACTAAGAGCTGGACTCAGATCTTCTGACACTTTCTACGATACCACAAGTGTTTATGAAAAATAAATATAAGATATATAATAGCATGTAGCCTATTACCTTGCACAGAGGGTAATGAATGAATATTTGCTTAAAATCTTATGTAAAGAAGAAACCATCCTCTATTCTTGTCAGTATATCAGAAATATTTTACAATTAAAAAAGTTTAATTACACACATTAAAAAAAGGAACAAAAAAAAGGAAAGGCTGGTTTACCCTTTGGGAATCATCTCACCAGAAGATACTGACTGCAGCCATCAGAATGAGTAAGGAAAGTCAGATCAGGGGTTCTGCAACACTTAGTTTGGCCATTTACTCACCTCAAAGACCAAGTAGAAAAACTATTAAGTACTATTAATATAGGTCTTCACCAAGGCCCAACCAGACACATAATGCTATACTGTATGACACGGTAGGCACTAGCCACATAAGATTGATTATTCAGTACTTAAAATGTAGCCAATGCAAATGAGGAACAGAAATTTAAATTTTATTTAAAGTTTAATTTAAAAACTGATAATTGATCCAGTTATTGAAAAACGTTTTAAGTATGTTTGGAACTACTTGGGTATGTGAATCTATGTTTTCAACTGTAAATTTTATAAAACCCAAATATATATCAAGTATTTCCAATAAAAAATTAGAGTCTAAATTGAGATGTTCCTTAAGTGTAAAATATACACAGGATCTCAAAGACTCAATAAGGAAAAATTAATGTAAACTATCTCGTTAATAATTTTTATATTAATTATAGTTAAAATAATATTTTAGATATCTTGGGTTAAAAAACTATTATTAAAATTCATTAGAATTAATATATTATTAAAATTAATTTTACTTGTTTCTTTTTACCTTTTTTTATGTGGCTACTAGAAAATTTTAAATTATACATGTGGGTCACATTATTTATCTGTTGGACAGCAGTGGTATAAGGGAAGTAAGACGAAGTTTGCATCTAAAAGTATATGTAAAACTACAAAAGAAAAAAAAACTCTTGACATTCAAAGGCAGTAAAAACTGTGACTACTGTTACATAGACAGTATAAATATCTGAAGTATATATATAGGTACTACCATAGCTTTGGACACAGTGCCATCTAGAAGACAAAATAACCTACCTTGTTTATTTCATTCACAATAAAGCCTTCTGAAGCTGTGACCTCTGGGATGCCATCAAGGCCAATTCCTTGACAAGTTAGGCTGCCATATAAAGTTGGTTTCCCTATATAGCAGAAAAGAAGCATGTGTCAAAAAAAAATAAGAATTTAACATTTTTCTCCTCGAAGACCCAATTCAGGCATCTGTATAGACAGTAGAAAATTGACTCATGAAAGAAAAGCAGGTACCTGTGTTAAAAATGAGGCAAAGGAGAAAGAGCATTAGCCTAAGCAAACCTAATTTAGGAGGGCATACACTCAAGGGCTACAAGCTAGGGAAAAAAAATTTAAAGATATAATATAGCATTTGTAGAGAAAGCTACTAAAGTAATCTCAATCTCAGTTTTACTGACTGTAAAATTCTTCCAGGATGAACTGTGAAGATCAACATGAATATATGCATTTATCCACAGTATATACACATAATACATAGTAAAGAGTTAAGTTTCATTAATTTGGAAAATATGCTTAAGAATACTGTTTTTGCTAAATAAGATATTATTCTATACATAAATATATGCAGATGGTAAAATGGAATTCAAAACAACTTTATTCTTATTCTGCACCTTATGTATACACTTCTGTAACAGTTCTAACATGTTGTTTACATTTCTGACCTTCACACTAGACTGTGAAGTTCTTGAGCTCAGAAACTAGCAGGTTGCTAGAAACTATTCAGCAAATAACTTGCAGCAAACTGAAATTCAAAGAATAAGAAAGAAGTAAAAACCATCAAGCATTCACAAAGAATAGGAGGGCTTCCTAGAGAGGGTGGGACTTGAGTAAAACCTTGAAAAAAAGATAGGACTAGTCAAAAGATAAGGAGAAGGAAACTCCAAGTCAGGGAGGGGACATGTCAAGGACAAAATAAGGCAGAACAAGGGGAAAAGAGGGATCAATTAATATATCAATTTGGTTACAACAGTCTGGCCCTCGTAGTATATCATTTCAGTCAATCTCCTGTATATCATTTCAGTCAATGACCTCTCTACATTTGCAAAATCACTGAAATAATCTCGGGGGGTTTTTTCTATATAATAGAACTGGTTTTAATTCAACCTTCTACATTTCTACATGCAGGCTGCTGATTGCTGCTACAGAAAAGGACACAATTGTGGAGACTGGCACCACTACAATTCATGTTTCTAAACTCTGCACACTTTTGCAGTTCTTTTGCCTCTTCTATTCCCCATAGAAACCAATTCTCATTACATCTATCCTGCCTTCAAAACCTTCTTATTAGTCAACAAGTGGAAACAACTCAAATGTCCATCAATTGATGAATGGATTAAAACTGTGGTGTATCCATCAAAAGACATAAGGTGCCTGAATGGATAAGAAAACAAGACCTATAAATACACTGCCTACGAGAGATCTTCGATCAGAAGATACATAGAGACTGAAAGTAATAAACATATAAGGATGGAAAATGATACTTCATGCAAATGGAAAATAAAAAAAAGCTGGGTTAGCAATATTCATATCAGACAAAACACACTTTATAACAAGAGATAAGGAACCAGTGATTCCATTTTGGGGTATTTATCCAAAGAAACCCAAAACACTAATTCAAAAGACATATACATCCCCATGTTCACTGCAGCTTTATTTATAATAGCTGAGCTATAAAAGCTACTTCAGTGTCCACTGATAGACAAATGGATAAAGAAGATGGGATACATATACACAATGGAATATTACTCAGCCATAAAGAGTGAGATCTTGCCATTTGTGATATTATGGATGGACCTAGACAGTATTATATTAAGTGAAATAAATCAGACAAAGACAAATACTATATGACTTCACTTATATGTGGAATCTAAAATATAAACAAACAAAAAAGGAACAAACTCATAGATACAGAGAACATTTTGATGGCTGCCAGATAGAAAGAGGCTTGGGGGAATGGGTGAAAAGGGGGGAGGAATTAAGATGTGCAAATTGCCAGTTTTAAAAACAGTCACAGGGATGTAAAGTACAGCATAGAGATTATAATATTGTTAATAATATTGTAGTAACTATGTATGGTATCAGATAGGTACTAGACTTATTGGGGTGACCACTTCATAAATTATACAAATGTGTAATCACTATGTTGTACACCTGAAATTAATATAATTTGTCAACTGTAACTGAAAAATAAAAAATTATTCTTTAAAATGTGGTGTATCCATACAATAGAATATTACTTGGCTACAAAGAGAAATGAATGCTACAAAATGGATAAGCCTTGAAAATGTTATGCTAAATGAAAGACGTCAGACACAAAAGGCCACATATTATATGATTCCATTTACATGAAATGTCCAAAACAGGCAAACCCATAGAGACAGAAAGTCAATTAGTGGTTACTATGGGCTAGGAGGAGGGGAAATGGGAAGAGACTGCTAAAGAGTATAAGGTTTCTTTTAGGGGTGATGAAAATGTTTTGGAATTAGATAGTGGTGATAGACACACAACTCTGTAAATATACTAAATCCACTGAATTGTACACTTTAAAAAGCTGAACATTATTGTATGTGAATTATATCTCAATAAAAGTGTTATTTTAAATTAAAATCCTAATAGTACTTACCTTGTCGTGAGAAAGAAGGGTTGTGAGAAAGAAATAATACATATGAAAGCATCTAGCATATTGATAGCACACATTTTAATTCAATAAAATTGTTATTTTAAATTTTAAAAAATAAAACAAAAAATGCTCTCCCTTAAGAGCTCACCCCAACTCCAACATCACAAAAAAAACTGAGGCTATAAGATACTCTCTATGTCCATGCCTACATATTTATTTACATCTGCACTTATACTCACCTTCTTTCATCTTAGACTTTTAGATATAATACAACCTCCTTCTCTCTCCTCTAAGACAATGGTAGTTCAGTTAGTTCTTCTCTCCTTACTATATTTAAATTGTTTTTCAATTAGTTCTTATCTTAGAAATAAAACAAAACTCTTGACTATGAGAACTTCTAGTTACCATCCTCTCTTCTATGCAGAACCAATTTTCTCAAAAGAAAACTGTTTAAAACTCTATTTCCCATAGAAATATATTATTATATAAAGACATCAAAGATATCTGAAATGAAAAAAAAAATCAGTAAAACAAAACTTTCTCACAAATTTAGAAAGAATTTTTTTTTAAATGTTACTACACCATGCAAATTAATGGATGGGAATAACACAGGAGTTTCATCCAAAGGAAAAACTGTTAAGACTTGGGAACTCTGGATATAGTAGGGTGAAGTGATTAGGTTTTACATTCTGATGTCTAGAATGATGTTAACTTAAGAAATGAGAAAATTAAGAAAGAAAACCTATGTGACAACAGAACTGCTCGGCTTCTTTTTGGATGTGATAAACTCAAGATGACATTGAGAGCTTCAAGCAGAAACAAGTAGCAAACAACTGTTCAATCTCTGCTTGAAACTGAAGAGAGGTAATGGCTAGAGCTATAGATCTAGGAATCAATATTCTAAGAGACTTGTAAGATGCATCAGCAATGTTTCAATGAATAAGTTTATGGCTTCTAAATGGAAAAACCACTCTGAAGGTCTTCCCTTAGAATGAAGAAGTTGGAGTGATGTCAGTACAGCACAGACTGGGTAAGAATGTTTGAAGACTATGAGCATGTGCAAGGAGTTTCGGCCAGGAGAGAGTAGGAGTAGTAAACCCTTTTTCTAAAGGGAATGCATATAGATTTAAAGATATTACCTGGGGGGTGACAACTCAGCCAAGCCTCTCCTTCATCCTTCCTATGAAGAGAGACAAAGCCTAATTAGACTCACTCAATCGTTGAAAAGGATGCTACTGGTGCAAGTGGATAAAGAAAATCATGTAATTTCCAGTTTGGCCATACTACTTAGACATGACCTAGTCTAACATCTCATCCAGGCATAGATTATTCTAAGACAAACTTTATTTGTTGAAGAAATATTTGTGGATTAAGTGTTATGTATATATCTGTTGGTAAAATGAGGCTCAAATATTTCATCAATAGGGAATTCACTATTTATTTATAACAGCACAGCTTTGAAAAATTGAGAATTATTTTATATTTAGATATTTACTGTAAGCCAGGCCCTGTGCTAGGCACTTTGCATATAGCACTATTAATCCTCACAACAATTTAACAATATATCTTTTATTTTCCCCATGTTAAAGAAAAAACTGAAGCTCAGAGAGAAGCGACTTGCCCAATGTCACTGTTATGAAACAGGAATTGAAACCTCAGACTAGTATACAATGTTTGTGTTCTACCACCTTACAGACATTTCATGTTTTAGAATGCCTTTCCCCAATCATCCATGTCGTTATCTCATCATCCTAATACTCTAATAGCAGAAAGGGCCTAGGCTTTTAAGACAGAAAGACATAGGTTGCCAGCAACTCTCAACTATCGTGAGAGAGTTACATGATCTTGGGCAAATTACTTCCTGATTCTGATCCTGCATTCTCTCATAGGTGCCTGGCCCTCAATAAATGTGTTTTTCCTTTATTACTTATCATACATTCTGTGTTGTATTAAGTAATGTGTACTTTATTTTGGTCCATTTAGTAAGGTGTAAGTTTCTTAAAAGCAGGGATGTTTTGCTCCTCTTCACCACTGTTCCCATTTGAAAACCTTCATTAGTAATAATAGTTGCCATTCATGGCACTGCAGTACTCATCCTGGTGCCCAGAGTAGTAACTTGCATAGTATATGTTTAATAAATATATGTTCAGCAAATTAACAGTTTCCTGTGCATTCCCAATTAAGCTGTTAGTTTTAGGGCAGGAACCACACCTTAAGTTTAGAGTACACATATGAACTGCACCGAGCATCTATTTAGGTCAGAGTCAGGACATGGTAGATGCTACACTATTTACTGAATATAATGGTCCAATATGATTACTATACCACTAGGGACCGAAGAGCATACAATGTGGTGGTGAGTACAGGGACTTCTGCCACTAGTTGACGACCAATAAATATTTGCTAAATGACTATGACTGCTCGGCCTTCTGCCTCCCAGTTTTCCTGTCTTCCTACATCTCATTGATCCTAGTTCTGATTCTGGGATCACACAGCGCTTATGTGTTCCCTAGCTTCAGGATAGCTCTCCTGGGAATGAAAAACAATCATCATGTGGGTTTGAGACTTCTCTTTCCCAGTGCTCCCTCAACAATTGATGAAGTAATCCTTATGGAAATCCTGGATTGGGCATGCCTCTCAACGAAAAGGTAACATCCGCTACCCGCCTCCTCTGTCCCGGTTCTAGGACTGGTTTCACCTGAGGGCTTGAGCCCAGTCGCTCTGAATCCTCAAAGGCGCCGCCATCTTGCCCCCGCCACAAACCTTCACCAGCCCGCCTCTTCCGCGCTTCCACGGAAGTAGGTCTTCCGAAGGGCTGCGGCGAGGACGGTGGGCGGGATCTACACCGAGAGGCCGCCAATGAAAATACGCGGTCGGTCCCTTCCCCCAACTTCCGCGTGCGCGCTCCCCACAGAGGCTGGTTCCTGGCAGGAGGGTCGGAAGAGTTCTAACTGCCCGCAAAGCCCACGTGCTGGAGTGCGCGTTCGGGGTCCTCTTGTTAACCTATTCGGTGAGCACTGCGTGCCGCGTCCTTGCACGGTGAAGCGTAACGGGCACAACTGGGGCGCGCCCAGCGGCTGTGAGGTGGCAGAGGATCCTGAGGTGATTTGGCCACTTGGATTTCTCTGCTTTCCCATCCTTTTCCATGCCTTCCTGGTCCAGGCCAGCCTCCCGATCCAGCTGCGGACCATTTGACCTACCTAATCTTTGAGCAAGAGTCTTCACTCTTTTTATTCCAAGAGAGACTGAAGCCGGATGTGGTGGGGACAAGAGTAAGGTAGCATTTACTGAGCCCTGTTGTATCCCATGCATTTGACATCATTATGTTAATCCTTACAGTAATTATGCGAGTTAAATACTACTATAAGGAGGAAATTTAAAAAGATTGCATGGTAAGGCGTGTGCCGGTATTCGAACCCAGATTTCTTGGCTTAGGATCCAAGGCACGTTTTTTCCCCCACTGTGCTCGCTTTAAGAGGTTTGCCCCTTGCTTGTAAGGAGCTCACAGTGTATTTAGGAAGAGACAACATGTACAGTAATTGAAACTATCATTTATTGAACTCCGAACGTGCCAGGCTCTTTACATGTATTATCTCATTTAGTTTTCGACAATTCTGTGAGGTAGATATTATCTCTATTTTTCAAGAGAGATTATTAAGTAATTTGCTCAAGGTCACCCAATGTGTCAGTGACAAAGCTAGTTTTCCAAACCAATTTTAGTTTCAAAGCTCGTTTTCTCCCTCAGGTTATACTGCTTCCAAAGCAAATGCGTTTTAAGTGGGCTATTGAGTGTTTAAATCCTTTTTATGACTTCTCTGTTGCCCTCCAAATGCCTTAACATAGCTGACAAGGCCTGGCTATGATCAGATACTTTCTCATCTTGCCAGTTCAGTTCGTTTTGTTTTCTCCTCATACTACTCTTAATTCTCCAGTCATACAGAACTTTCCATTCCTCTTATATGTTAAATTGTCTCAACCACCCTCCCCACACCCTGTTCTTCCATTAACTAGAAATATTCTTCCTTGCCATCTCTGGTTAACTTCTATTCTTCTTTCAGGTTTAGAAACCACTTCCTCCAGGAAGCTTTGTCTGCCTGTTCTTGCTCTTGTCTGGATTAGGTATCACTCCTCCACTCTGTTCCCAATATGAGCTATATGTACATGCTGTATAGTAAACTGATCTGTCCTGGTCACTCCTATATCCTCAACTCTAGCATAGTGCCTGGTACATGAGAGGTACTCAGCTCTTGCATAGTGTCTGGTATGAGAGGTGATAATTTGTTGAATGAATCAGAGACACTGGAAAGGGATTATGAAGTCCTAGCTCCTTTATAGCCTGCCTCAGTGATAATTTGTTGAGTGAATCAGAGACACTGGAAAGGGATTATTATGAAGTCCTAGCTCCTTTATAGCCTGCCTTGATGAAATTTGTACAAAGGCTGAGGTCATTTCTCTTCAAGCCTTTCATAAGTTCCTTTTGTATGCTATCTTCTGCTGGGTATTCTGAAGCTTATGATCTTGGGAAGACAGTCTGGACAAATACACTTCACATTAAGTACTCTCACCTCTCAGACTCATCTCTGGTCCTTTCATGCTGTATACTATAACCACAACTCTCTCCATTCCTCCCATATGTCAAACTCTACTCATATTTGGCTATTTTCCTAAGTGTTGAACTTTGTCCTTCTCTAGCGATAGAATAAGGCCAACAGGAGAAAAGAAAAAAGATTAATTTGGGGTGAATCAGAGATCACTTCTTCAGAAAGATGACATTTCATCCGATTTAAATGCCATTAGAATCTATTCGAGCTTATTTAGTGTTGTGCTAAGCACTCTCAAATACTTTAGCTCAAACTTGTTCAGTTCAAACCATTTTGCAGCACTTCTCTCTGCCAGGCCTAGTGCTGGGGGCACCAAGTTGAACCAGGCCCATTATCTGTCCTCAAATAGCTTATAGTCTGCAAAGGGAGACATATGCATAAATAGCTTATAACAGTGTAGTGGTGCTATTTATAATAGAGGAATCTTGTATATAATCATGTCCCTACTCTAACTTTGCCTCCATTGATATCTAGAGACTCCCAAAGATGTCAACTCAAGGCCATACCTGGATCCAACAGGTGAAGAAGGAAGGTGAGGAAGAGGACCCACTGGACCAGCTGATTTCCCGTTCTGGCTGTGCTGCTTCTCACTATGCAGTGCAGGAGTGCATGGCCCAGCACCAGGACTGGCGACAGTGCCAGCCACAGGTGCAGGCCTTCAGGAACTGCATGAGTGAACAGCAGGCAAGGCGGCGCGAAGAGCTGCAAAGGAGGAAAGACCAAGGCAGTTCCCACAGCTGAGACCCCCAAACCATCTATCCCCAGAGGATGACCTGCAGAAACTAGCACCCAGAGAGGTCATGGATGGGAGGAACAAATCCTAAACAGTGGAAGTGTGGGCCAAGAGGTATAAAACTTGGGGATAGTGTTTTGGACTGAAGTTGAGAGCCAGGCAGCCATGGGTTTAGACATGACTGCCATAAAGAACTGTTGTATTTTCATGGTGGGATCTCATACATCCTCACCCATCTTGTTCAATGAATATTAATTATTGACCAGTATTTGCTCTGTAAGCAAAGAGTGGGGTTAAGGGATGCTTTTCTATCCTACACCTGGGTCAGTCTGCCAAGTACTGAGCTGATTATAGGGACATTGAATCTTACAAGTAAATTCACAATCTAAAGGTAAATTGGTTACCTAATCAGGTCTTCATTTATTTAGTCATTGATTCAACAACAAGTTTTTCTGAGATCTCATGTACCAGGCATTGTTGAAAACTGATGTGATGAATAATATCTCTGCCTTCATGTTGCTTAGTCTAGTTTGAGAAATAACACTGGAACAACTAATTCCTGACAGTGATATAAATGATTTTATCTTTCAGAAGTTGTTATGGGTGTTTTATTCAGTCTAATGGAAGGAAAAAAGCAAATGAGAAGACAAAATATGTGCCTCTCTTATGCCAGAATCTGTTGAATTAATAGATGCAGAGTCTGACCTCAGCATACTCCTAACCCAACAAACACAATGTTGGCTTGACATTTAAAAAGTACATTTAACATAAAATACAGATATTCTGCTTTTGAAAAATAGAGAAGCTGTCAACATGGAGCTTATATTCCTACTTGACAACAATTTGCTAGAGCTGGATAATTTCTCTTTTAGGTGGTTGTGTTCTCTGGTTCATAAGTTACCACCACTTCTCATTTGGCTTCCATGGAACTACATGGGGTGGTGTGTGTATGTGTGTATACATGTATTTATTCACCTTTTTATCTTCATGTCACTACACATCTCCCAACTTTACATTCATCCATTAGCTGCTGCTCTTTTATCCTCCCCGAAGGAGACTCAGCAATGAGCAATTCTACAACCAAAATATCAGTCCTCACCTGGAAAACTCTGCCCACATACCCAGTGGGATTCACTTAGAAGTCCTGGCCTGCTGTACCTTCAATTTAAATTCAGAGCAGCATTTGAACTAAGGGCTCCTGCTATCCTGACAGCCCTCCCTTAGTGTTAGACCCTGGGAGAAAATCTGAGTTTCCTCTTGTTGCCTTTGGAGACCAAGGCAAAAGAAACTAAAATAACTTAAGGACTGAAACTGATGAGTTTCAGAAAGTACATGGAATACTAAGAATGCTCTGAGCTCCCACAAACCTCTACGTAGAGATATCCCACAGAAGCAGTGGGGTACAGGGTCTGTCACCATTAGCTGTGTGACCCTAGGAAGTCACCTCATCTCCCTAAACCTCAGTTTCTCCATTGTAAAACTGCGATAATACCATTAACCTCAAGGATAATCTGTATAAAGTATATAGCATAACGAGGACTCAATAAATGTGAGATGTACTCACACGCTCTCAAATACATGCAATCACACACATTTTCACACACACAGATACCATACACATGCACACTCATATACACCCTAAAAAACTGGTGTGAGTTTTAGAGCTAATGCAGTACCTAGCACAGGGTCTAGTTCAATAAGTGATAGCTATTACATACAAAAGTATGAATGTCCTAATGCTCAGAATAGGAAAAACATTAGGGGTTACTTAGACTAGTGGGTCTCAAAAAGGTAACCCTTGACCAGCAGTATCATCAGCATCACGTAGAAACTTGTAAAAACTGCAGATTCTGGGCCCTCACTCAAAATCTACTAAATCAAAAAATTGGGCGGTGGAGTCTAGCAATTTGTGTTTTTTTTTTCTTTTTTGTAGTTTTTTATTTTGAAAGTTTAAAATTTCTATTTAGAGTCTTTAAAATGTTTAGAATTCTATATTTTCATAACATATCAGTGGTTAGTAATTTGTATTTTAAAAAGCCCTCCAGGTGATCCTGATGCATGCTTAAATTTGAAGACCAATGACTTAGATCAGTGTTTGACAAACTTTTTATAAAAGGCCACATAAATGTTTAGCTTACAGTCTCTGTCACAGCTACTCAACTCTTCCATTGTAGTGTGAAAGCAGCCATAGACAATATGTAAATGAATGAGCTCTGGTCCAGTAAACCTTTATTTACAAAAGCAGGCAATGAAGTTGTGAAACTAGACAGAGGTGGTTGTACAACATTGTAAATGTATTAAATACCACTGAATTGTTCACTTTAAAATGGTTAGTTTTGTGGTATGTGAATTTCACCTCAATAAATAACTTCTAAAAAGAAACAACGCCCATTACCAGCATATTTTTATTAAATGGAGGATACCTGGGGTTGGCTCAGAGGAAAGTGGTGACAATTGGTAAACACTCTTCCACAGAGGAGACAAAGGAATCATCGGGAGGTGGGGGAGGAGGATAGACATTTTAAGATATCTAAGGGTCAGAGTCTCCTGCTTAACTTTGACTACCCAGGAAGCTCTTGCCCTTAGCACTCAATATCACCAATGCTGGCATGAAAGAGTCTACAATGAACTAGTTCAACTTGGCCAACAGTTCTTCCAGCTCTGGCCGAGCTTTGAACCTTCCCTTGAAGTCTTCTTCAGTGTGCTGGGAAGAAAAAAAAGTGGGAATTACTACAGAGCTTTCAGTTACTCACATATGCACAGCATCAAAAAGGATCCATAAGCCAGCTCCATAGAGAATGAATCGGATTCAACTAACTTTTACTGAGTACTCTGTACCAGACTCGTATTAGGTACCAAAGATTCAAAGCTGAATTGGACTTCCTCCCTGCCTTAAACGAACTTACAGTCTGGTAAGAGAAGACAGACTTATAAAGAACTAATGTCAGAACGCTATAAGTATCACAAAAGAAACACTTAAAAGAGGGAGAATGCCAAATTTTTCCATTACAATAGGAAATAACAGACATTGGGACTGAAATATTTCAAGTCAGCATGACAAGCACATTTTTGCTTGTATACAGACCTATGTGAAACCCAACTAACAAGCAGAGGCTTAACAAGCTTAACAAGACTCAGGACAAGGGAGCTAAATGAAGCATATAGTATCAGTTAAGATGACCTGTATCTTGCGTCATAAGGATCACCTTGGCAACAGGACCCAAATATTCAGTATTTAGGCTAAGGTTCCTAATGTAGTCCTAGTTTTCCATGCCAAACTTTCTTCTGAATGGCATTTTTTACCAAATATATTCAGTCGAGCTCCAGTCAAGACTTGAAGATCCAGGAACCTTCTCTCTAATGTACATTTTCCTCTTTATGTTCTGATTAGTTATACTGTATGAGACCTTAAACCATGTTCCTTCCGCTACACAACTGCCTGAAGGGAGGGAATTTTGGGGTGGAATAGGCTCACACCTAACATCAGGATGCTGTGATGGAGTTCAGCTTGTGGTTCATAAAGCATCATCCTTGAAGAGCCAAAATAATGATCACAGTCATACCAGCTTGCACACATTTCCTGATTATTATCTGGGCTAAATTCTCCACATTTCCTTACTGTTTCTAAAGCCAGGCAGTCTAGATTCTCTCATCTATATTTTGAGTACAGGTGGGCCACCAGGGGGCCTCTTCTAAAACTAGCACCTACCTCCTTCACTGACAGTTTGACTCCTTCAGGAAGATTGCTTTGGATTATTTCCAAGAAAATCTCTGCAAATGTAGCACTCAAACCGCTGATCTGAAAAAGGAAAGAAGACACTCTAAGAGGCACTGAAAGCTAGGTGATTGGGGAAACATGGCACGAGCTCAAATGTGAGGGTCCTTGGAGCCTAGCCTTTACTGGATTTCTCTTGCTACCTGCCAAGGTGTCTGCTTGCTGAGATGGTCATGGCCAATATCTGCTCCTGTAGGCAATGGATGTCATAACTGGACCAAATTGGTTATCAAGTCCAGTATGACCTTTTGATTCAACTCAGATTAACCCACACAGACCAGGACCAGACCAGTGTCAGACCCTGTGCTGAGGTGAATCAGATCTGTGGTAGAAGGGCATGAAAGGGGCTGCAGAAACATTGGTGAAATACCTACGCAACTTGATCAGGGGAGATCAAAGATAGCTTCCAAAAGAGGTAATATCTGGGCAGAGTCTTAAAGAAAATCAGGAGTAACCTGGGAGAATTCAACAGTAGTGGTGGGAGTTTTCAAGGCAGAGGAAACAATATTCAGTAAAATGTGGGGGCATAGCACAGTATTAAGGAATTAAAACTAGGTTGTGTGGTTGGAATGAATGGGGTATAAAGAGGAAAAGCAGGAGAATCATGAAGGCCCTTAGATGTTAATCTGAAGAGTTCAAACTATATTTTATGGGCCTCAGTGGCAAAATAGATTTGTCATAAGATGTATCTCAATTTATTCCTGATAATATTTAAAGAAGCAAAGATTTAAGTACTTTAATTATTTTAAAAATTAACAGATTTAAGGTGTTACTACTTTAAAATTCCTCTCATTACCTTGCTGATAAGTTTCTTAAGTGGATCAGAAAGGGGTGATGTCCAGACATTGGAATATTATTTGGCTATAAAAAGGAATGAAGTACTAATACATTATACAGCATGGATGAACCTTGAAAACATTATGCTAAGCAAAAGAAGCCAGACATCAAAGGCCGTATATTGTACAAGTCCCTTTAAATGAAATGTCCAAAAGAGGTAAAACAATAGAGGCAAGCAGTAGATTAGTGACTGCAAGGAGTTGAAGGGATAGGGATAGAGGAGTGAGTGATTGCTATTGGGTACAAAGTTTCTTTTGGGGGTGATGAAAATGTTCTAATACTGGTTGTGATGATGGTTGCATGCTCTGTGGATTACTAAAGCCCATTTAATTAACATTTTAAGTGGGTAAATTGTATTGCATATGAATAAAACTCTCAATAAAGGTGTTATGAAAAAGAGGGTGATATTAAGTGAGAATTTTTAATAGCTCTGGGCACTCACAGTGGTAATGGTTGTCAGCCATCTGTCTCTGCAGTGAAAAGACAGAACCACTGCTAGAGCTAAAGGGAAACCACTGTGGGGATTTAAGCAGGAATATGACATGATCACATCTGTATGAGGGTAAAGTTGATGGATCTGAAAGATTTTTAGAGTGGAAGCTATATAATTTGGTGAATGAATGGCTATCAGAGAGCAAAGAAGGGTCGAGCATTAGGCTTAAAGATGGGGAAGATTACAGAAAAAGAGGAACATCAATCCCTCTACAATTAGTTATGTAAACACTGAGTGTGGAACACCTCAGTGGAGAAGTCCAGTAGACAACTGGATATCAGGTTTGAAGCTCAACCAAGAGATCAGGACTGGAGATAAATACCTGGGAGTTATCAGGGTATAATGAAGTCACTGAGGCCAGGGAAATGAATGAGAATGCATAGAGGGAAGGTATTATTAAATAAGGAGAAGTGGAGGGATCAAGAACAGAAACTTGGAGAACATCCAAGGGGCAGGCAAGAGAAAGAAATGAGCATGGAAAAAGGAGGAAAATGGACAGAGAGAAGAAGCAGGAGAGGCAGATACATTTCAAGTTTCTCCTAGAGTGCCTACCTGAACCACTCGCTCATGGGTGGTAAGAACTGAATCCAGGACCATTTTGCTGCCTTGGTCCTGCAGCCGCAACACCTCCATGGTTTTGGTGGGCATCGCATAACTGTGGGAAGGAAGAGACAGCTCTAGGGAGGGTTCTCTTAAGCCAGCAGCAACACTGCAGTCAGGGTGGTCCCTTAGTGAGGGAGAGCTCCAGGGATCTAAGGCTGTTATCTGCAGCCACAGCAAAGTAACCACATGCTCTTAAAACTCCTCTAGAAGTCTCTAAACTCCCTGAGGGGACAGACCTGTCTAATGCCTTTCTGCATACCTAATCTTGCCTAATATAAAACCTGATAGTTAATAAGTATTTGCTGCAACTAAAAGAATACCCAATTCTAAAAGAATCAGGTTCATCACTAGTTATGCTTTGGAGGTTAACTTCAGGTATTTCCCCTCTTCTGGACAAATTAGGCCTGAAACCCAACCGTTGTAGAGCAGGATTTCTCAGCCACAGCACTACTGACATTTTAGACTAGATAATTCTTTGTTGTGGGGAACTGGCCTCGGCATCCCTAACCTCTACCCACCAGATACCAGTAGTTCCCCCCAAGTGGTGACAATCAGAATTATCTCCAGACATTGTTAAATGTCCCCAGGTTGAGAATCACTGTTGTAGAGTCTATGCTTACTATAATCAGCTTCAGCAGATCTACATGCTTTGGTAAAAAGAACACTGGACTTGGGTCAAATCTTGGCCCTGCCACTTATTAACAATACTTAACTAAGGCAAGTCAATTCCCCCTCTGGGCCTCGGTTCCTTCATATAGAAAGAGGATTACAATCTAGGCCTTCATCAATAGGTTATTGTGAGGATCGAATGGGGTGATGAGATAGGACTGATGGCTACACAGAAATATGGCTCAGTGTTGTGTTCTTCTTATCAAAAAGTTAATCAAACAATATAAATGGAATAATAATAACAATAGAATTCCTGAATTTTCATACCACACAAAGTTTTATTAATTAATAGCAGGGGGCATGGCCCTCTACAGATGGACTGCTATAGTTGGAAAATGGATTAGAGACATGACAGTCAGCCCTGGATTTAAATGTTGGCTCAATCACTTATAACCTGTTTGACCTTGGACAAATTAATTCAGCTTTTGGAATCTCATTCTTCAGCTATAAAATTAAGATAGTATTACCTAGTTCATTGGGTTGTTGCCTGGCATACTATGCCTACAAATGCCCATTCGCTTGCTCTTACAAACGGTGAGTAAATGCTAGGTATTGCAAACTCTTCCAGGGAACCTCCTTATATAACATTCTCTCCCACTTTTCAGCAAAATCTCTGATGGCCTCTCACAATTCAAGAGCAAGTAAAAGAACTATGTAAAAGCACTGTAAATGCTATTTTTCCTTTTTGACATTCTGCAGATATGACTAAAGTAGTTGTCCATTCTTGCCATTGAGCATACATTTTGTTCTTCAACACTTACTTTAGCAAGATTTCACTGATTTGGTTATTTATTCATTCATTTGATAAGCTTTTACTGAGAGCCTGTCTGTCCTAGGCACTCTAGTGGGCAATATGCAGCCTATGCTTTAAAGGAACTAACTAAGCATGTTTTGGAGAGACAGGTAAGTAAACAAACATCTTCATTACAGTAAGATAAAGACAATAATAGGTATGAACTAAATATTATAGAGACAAGAGGGAAAGAAGCGGGGCTCAGGGAGGGCTCCATAGGTGAAGGAGTGCTTTACTAAGATGTAAAGAATGAACAAAAAGGAGTTTGCCCGGAGGGCATTCCAAAAAAGTGCAGCAGTTACCTACAAAGGTGAGGAGGCATGAGAGGCTCTCAAAGAGAGCCAATAGAAAAATCAGACATAGTTTTACAAATACTGAGAACTCTGGTCATTTCAAAGTAGAATAGGCCATTGAGTATTTTCCTTTAGTGTCTATACTTTTCTGTACTTTCCAAATTTTCTACAATGAACATTACTTGGATGTTCACATAGTAAAAACATAAGGGAAGAAATGAAATAACTGAATTTCAATAGTCAATCTAACATGAAAAAATAACGATACCTTTTCGGACTACTGCCTGGGAAAGGACAGAAGGGATCCTGCTCAGGTGCTAGGGAACTTAGAGTCTACTGTGGACTCTACTACATACAAGTTATAACTCTACTTTAAACAATGTAAGTGGACTTTAAAAAAAAGTTACCTTACAGAGAGTGATGCTGAGTGATGCTTTTACTTTCTACAGAGCACAAGGGCTGCATCAGCTTTAGGCTTGGAAGCTTCTCCTAGATGAATATGATTTCCATCTCTCCAAGCAATAGCTCAGCAAGAGAAGCAGGCAAATTAAGGGACCTGCATGAGAGGCCTCTTCTTCTCTGGGTGAGTTGCAGCTGCAGCAATGCAGACCATTTATAGAACAAAAGCCAGCACACTGCTCCCCTACCCCATTCCATCTCAAGGTCAGAGTCCTACACCCCACTCCCAGAGGAAAAATGGATCACGATTTACTGAAAATCAGAAGAAAAGAAAAATCATTTCATTTCTGAAAAGCTGGGTGGTGAGAATACAATAGTCTAAAAATCTCAATCAATGCAGAGAAATGAGTTGCTGAAAACAAACATCTCTTTATGCTCTGTGCTATTTGGAGCAAAGAGCCAGGAAAGAGGCAAAAAGCAGCAGAGCATTCATTCTGCTGTACTAGGAGTCATGTCTCTGTCTACTGGAACTCAGTCCAAGCCAATGAATATTTATTCAGTATCCACTATGTGTCAGGTACTAGGCAAGGTCTTACTTAGGGTTAGACTGCTGATGAAGACAGAAATAATCCTTGCCTTATAGATCTTAGAATCTAATAAGGAAGACCAATACAAGTCAAGTAATTACAAGGGTAAAGAATGACTGCTATGGAAGGGAAATTACATAATCTTCACTTCTACTAAATAAATAACATGAGGATCTAACTTAATGAGTTTCTCTGAAGAAATGACACTTAAGAAGAAACCTAAGGAAAAAATAGGTGTCAGGTAAAGGGAAAG